AAGTCACACTTCTTACAATAATTCAGCGTAGTGTATTCGGATCGTGATGCAGACTTGGGTTGCGTGTTCTATTTCATCGTGCTCAGTTTTGCGGATGTAACGATCGCGTCACCGACTGCATTTCATTCTCTAAATCCTTTTGTCAGTCCCCCCAGCACACCCATCCCTCATTTTGACTGGCGACGGACAGTGCAATAAACAAGTCGAGTATTTATCCAGTTTCCCTTAGCGCGAGCCTTGAATAGGGCAAGCATATTCAAAACCCTTTAAGTCTCCACAATGCCAACTCTTTCCTCCCGCTTCAGTGACTAGATGAAATAGTCTTTACCCACTAAGGAGCCATCCCAACCCGACTGTCGATCTGAAGGACTAATTATTTCGTCAGTCGGGAACCCTAGAAGCTATAATTTAGCCCATGTGAGTTTACAGCTCATTGGATCGTCTCTAGGCGCCTGCCAGAAGGGGATCGACATAATTCTCCTCTTCCCCTTCCACACTGGTGGCGAGCCTGAGGCAAGCCGACGAGGCTAGGTTGGACGCATGCCATGCACATTGGATAGGCAGGTTTGGGCGATCCGTCGCGTTCGTTTGTCGGAATATCCTGCTTCCAGTTCCCTTAGCGTTCTTTCCGACATTGTATAGCTTTTGTCGACAGTGATTCCATGAGTAACCAGACCACTTTGTCCTTGAAGGCCTTTTGCCGCTTTGTTAGCAACTCCGACAGGTCTGTCGGTCTCGCCCCGCTTAAATCATCTGCCATCTTTTCTGTATCCTAAATGAGTTTTTTGAATCACCACCTACAAATGTCTTCACGTCTGCCTATCATCCCTATTGCATTTTCATGTGTGCGCAGCTGGGACTCTTCGCCGTAAGTCTTCGGCCCGTGGTCCAGGTTCTGTGTACCTACCTCAATACTAAGCAGCCCAACGGACTTCGTGAGGTATGTTGCCAGCTCTGCTGCAGATCAAGATGATATGTTTCCTTCTTGCTTCTCTAAAGGTGGAGTGATAGGAGATAAATCGTTACTCACGTGTGGGGAGAGTTGCGACGAACACTGGACCTTAATCAACTCCTTGGGGAACGTTTTCTTTCAGGGGGATTCTCCCGCAGCACTCTAACCCAGGAGTGGGTGCTGCGGCCTCTGCTGGTCTTTCCTGCCTTGTGCTAGGCTAAGCCGCCACTGGTTGAAAGGTCGACACTAAACCCGACCTTTCACCCACGATAACGCACCTGTAGCGCGCGCCCTTCCGCCCCGCTGGACTACACTTTCTCACAGAACTTTACCGATAGAGAAGCTTGATGAAATTACTTGGCTTGTCCCAGGACCAGCCCCCTTTCGCCAGGGTAAACAGACCATCGTGATTCTATGCCTGAAAACAGTTATCTTCCTTCTGCGTGACCTGCCTGAAGGCGCTTGGGACAGTAAGCGACACGCCCTCTCCAACTTAGATGTCTTCACCCATCAAGTTGAACTGGTTCAATCATATCTGGCAGGCCCGCCCTTCCTACGGAGGCGTTAATACACTGCCACCCTAGATTGCTGTTGCTCAGGAGTTAATGTTCTTCGCTCTTCGCCAAAAAGGGTCCTTAGTTACAGACTTCCGACCCACTTTCCATTATCACTGAAGTCGCCTACTTCCAGGTGTCAGTATCCTCTCGAAATTTCCCAAGTAGCCAGATGCCCCCCGTGCGCCCACTTGTGCCTCCGAGTACGGCTTTTCTCCCCAGTACCTGCCTCCGCTTGTCATCTGGTCTCCCTGGCAGGTGGTTACCGAGTTGTCGAGATGCCATCAGTTCGTGTTCCGGTTGCTTTTTATGCCATGGGTCAGCTGCGACATATAACTGTTCTAACAACTCTGATGCTTGCTTATTAACGAGTTTTTCTGACGTAGATAACATTCCGCGTCCTACGCTTTCTTTGCCAGGGGCTCACGCCCACTTATTATCAATGTCGCTTTGCAGGCAGCCGCCCAGAGCTTGCTTCACTTGCACAGTTTGGATCCCGGCCTCGTGGCCTACGAGTGCGACTCCCAGCGCGGTCGCGGTACCTGAGCAGTGCTTGATACGATCCATCATTTTGTGGACTGACATGTATTTTCTATTTTGAACTTATTTTCGGAATAAAAGATTATCGTGTCTTCACCGTCATACGACGGGTGCCAGATGAATTTTCTTCGGTTCCTGCCATAAAACACACGTTTGATAATGGAGCAAACAAGGGACTGGCGTACCAGGAGTATTTCAGCGAGACTGATATCCTCCATTTGAAGTTTCGGAACACGAGCTCATAAACCGGAACTATAACAGGCTTAATGTGTACATAAGAATGGGACCTATCCTAAGTTGTCCATCCACTGGCTTGCGTATCGTAAACGCCAGTCTAACCCACCGACCAAATTGCGTTGTGGAAACAAAACTGGCAGGTTATCAGGCTATCACTGCCCGGGAAGCGTAACGCCTGTGCTTTTCTGAAGGCTTAAAAGAGGGTCGTGCCAATCGAGTTCCTTCGTTGATAGAGCTTAGCGGTGCCCTCCACTGCGGCCCGATAATGTTCCTTCCTCCGTTCAGCACTGATTTTGTAAACAGTTTTTAGCCGGACGCCGTGTCTACTAGACCTATGCCTGTGGGTGCATTTAAAAAACGACAAGTAACGCCTAGAAGCTC